AATCTTTGTTAAACATTTCTTGTATTTTCTCAATCCATACCTCCATTCTATTTCCGAGTTTCTGGATCATCTTTACTATCATTACTAGGAATTCTTTTTCAGGTGGATTGCCTATTTCCTCTTCATTTATTTGGTCTTGTAGGTTTTTACCTTTCTCCTTCATCTGTGACGTATTTTTTTGCCATCTCATTTTTTTTCTTTATGAGTGGGATTGTGTTCCTGTCTTACTGGTTGTTTGGCCTGAGGCTTCCAACACTGGAGTTGTAGGCTATTGGGTAGAGCTGGGTTTTGGTGCTGAGATGAGGAGCTCTGTGAGACCTCACTCCGATGAATATCCCCTGGGGTCTGAGGTTCTCTGTTAGGCCAGTGGTTTGGACTTAGAGCTCCCACCGCAGGTGCTTCGGCCGGACCCAGGGTTTGTGAACCAAGATCCCACAAGCTGCCTGGGGCGGCAAAAAAAAAAAAAAAAAGAACAATAACAAAGTAAAAAAATTAGACTAGAAGCTAACAGATATGTTAGGAAGAATATAAAAATAAAAATATAGATGAATCAACAACCAGAAGGTACATCAGTACACAATAGTAAAAAAGAGGAGGAAAAAGAAAAAAAAGGGGGGGGGGGAGGTAAAGCCTTAGCTGTGGAGGGCAGGGCCTAAGCAAGGGCGAGATTTGGGTGGTGGGTGGGGCCAACGCTCAGGACCCACAGGGCTGGGAAAGGCCCTGGGAGCTGTGGGGGGTAGGGCTTAGGCTCCAGGAACAGAAGGGGCCCAGGCGTGCCCCCCATCCCTGGTCCCAGAGCTCAGCAGGCTCCCCAGCCTAAGTGGGCCAGGCGGTCGCCCTCAGCTCCTCTCCGGCTCCTCTCCGAGAGTCCCTCCCATCTGCCTCTCCTGATCTCCCCAGCCTCAGGGGCGCCAATCCTGTCTGGCCTCCACTTCTCCTCCCCCCTCCGTCCCCCTCTGTCCTACTGGTTCACTTTGGGGTTCCTCCCGTCTCCTTGGGTGTTAGAGTCCCCCACCAGCGGCCAGCAGGCGCACCTTTTGGCTTTTATGAATAATATTGCCATAAACATTCGTGTACAAGTTGCTGTGTGGATGTATGTTTTCATTTCTCTTGGGTATACTCTTAAGAACGGAATTGCTGAGTTTTATGGTAATTATGTTTAACTCTTTGAGGAACTGCCAAACTGTTTTCCACAGCGGCTGAACAATTTTTCATTCCCACCACCACCACTGTAGAAGAGTTCCAATTTCTCCCCATCCTTTGCCAACACTTATTTTCTGTATTTCTTACTGTAGCCAATGTTTCAATAAATTGAGCTCAATTAATAATAAGCAATTTTGTCATTAAAGATTTTTTTTTTTGCGATATGCGGGCCTCTCCCTGCTGTGGCCTCTCCCGCTGCGGAGCACAGGCTCCGGAAGCGCAGGCTCAATTGCCATGGCTCACAGGCCCAGCCGCTTCGCGGCATGTGGGATCTTCCCGGACCGGGGCATGAACCCGCGTTCCCTGCATCTGCAGGCAGACTCTCAACCACTGGGCCACCAGGGAAGCCCCATTAAGTGCCTTTTGAAATCACCATTTGAACAGCCATTTCTCGTTTGCTTTTTTTACAAAAGTTCATTGAAATATTCATCTTACTGTTGGACACAGTTTATCCAAATTTTTCCTATTAATACTGCTACAATAAATGTTCTTGTACATAAATCTTTGTCTCTATTTCTGTTTACTTCTCTAGTCTCTAGAATATATTTATAGGAGTGGAACTACTTGGTAAAGTAGTGTGAAACTGTTAAGGCTTTTGATAAATATTACCAAATTAATTCCCAGAAACATTATACCAATTTCTATCATAGCATTCACTGAATATATTATCACTTAAAAAAACTTTTATTAACATGATAGGCAAAAGTAAGCGCTACCTTATTTTAAATTTACACTTCTTTGCCAACGAAATGGACTTTTCCCCCTAAGTCTATTGTTCATTTGCATTTCTTTTATGAAGTATGTCTTTCACCCATATTTTTATTGTTGTTTAGTGCTTTTCTTACTGATTTGTAAGAGTGTTTTTTTAACATTAAGAATGTATTTATAAGCTCAGTAAGGAAATGGAGGCCTTGATCAGCATACCAACCAGACCTAACAAACATACACAAAACATTCCACCCAACAACAGCAGAATACACATTCTTCTCAAGTGTACATGGAATATTCTCCAGGATAGCCCACATGTTATGTAACAAGTCAATAAATTTAAAAAGATTGAATGGGAACTATAGACTCCAGGTGACACTGATGTGTCAGCGTAGGTTCACTGATGTTGACATTAGGGAAGCTGTGGACTGCGGGGCAAGGCGAGTGTACTTTTTGCTCAGTTTTGATGTGAACCTAAAACTGCTATAAAAAATAAAGTCTATTAAAAATTAATAACTTGGGCTTCCCTGGTGGCGCAGTGGTTGAGAGTCCGCCTGCCGATGCAGGGGACAAGGGTTCGTGCCCCGGTCCGGGAGGATCCCACATGCCGCGGAGCGGCTGGGCCCGTGAGCCATGGCCGCCGAGCCTGCGTGTCTGGAGCCTGTGCTCCGCAACAGGAGAGGCTACAGCAGTGAGAGGGCTGTGTACCACAAAAAAAAAAAAAAAAAAAAAAAAAAAATTAATAACTTGTGTACTAACATAGTAAAAAAGATATACCAAGGCACATCCAACATGTCTGAACTCAACGTTTTTATTAATAGGTAGAATATTCAATAGTCAATAAGTATTCACTCATGCCCTGAATGGTGAAAGCTCTCCCTCACCCCCAAATTCTTATACTTCAAGTCTAGGCAATGAAACTGCCAGGTGAAAGTGGAACATCACATAGGGAAAAGCAAGGTCCTTTTTCCCCTAAAGTCCCCTTGGGAGCAGAATCAGGAAGATTATGTAGAAAAAGAATTAGTCACTTCAAGTGTTCACTTAAATCCAAACTCCTTCAGGAGAGATTAAGACATATTAAAATGCTCAGAGGTCATCCAACCATTGAAATTTCTGTATAATTGACAACTGGGTCATTCTGGAATAGGGCAGGGCAGGCATGCCTATTTCTGTGGGAAACACTCCACTGTAATAAGAGTGGAGCCGTCTGAGAATGGACTGCCAATGTCACAGGTGTGAGTCCAGCAACATTATCTATCCATAGTGAGGCTCCCCATCAAGCTGCCCTGCTCTAAAGCCGAAGCTGTAGACGGGGTACACATGACCAGAGGAAACCAAAAACATGATTTAAGACTTAGAAAAATGGAAAGAAGTGTTTCTAATGAGTCATGCGATATAATTTGCAAGTCCGTACAAGAACTAGTAATAACTAAAGTTAGTTAACAATATTCAAACTGCCCATCAGTTATATGGTACGTTCTCTGTAAAACTCCACCTGTGTGTGAAAAGTAAAGTTAAAATGTCTAGATGTGATCTTTCAGGTGTCAGTTTACTTCCAAAAACACCAATTATCAGTGTGATTGCCTGCCTGTCGGCATCAGTGTACTCCACCAGTCCATACTGGTTCAACTAACTGGCTCAGCTTGGATTCCTGTTCGTTGACAGTTCTGCTAAAGTAAAACATCTGGATGTCTGGTCTAGCTTTAATGGACAGCAGGTACAGTGTCGGACTACTGACAGAGGAAAAATTCTGACGATTCCGGTTATCAGGTCAAACCACTGTGTCTACTGAATAAAGCCAATTAAGGTGTCAGTGTCCCTGGGAGAGGCTGTGGAGACCCCAGTTTACCTGAGTTAAAGAAAAATGTTGCATCCCAGGATCATATGTCAGAGATTAAATGAGCCTAACAAGCTAGAAATAGTACACACGTTAGAAACCAATGAAGCACTTGGAAGTGGGATTCTCTGAGTTGCTAGATTGAAAACCCAGTCCAGCAGCCTTGGCTGGACTCAATGTCATTGTAGGACAGAGTGTTATCATTTTACTGGTCCTGCGCTTGTGCCAACCCAAGCTCACACCAGCCCCCTTTCTTCAATTTGCCTTGAATACAGGACAGTTACAGGATTCACTACTCTTAAGAGTTGAACCCATCTGATTGGTAAGGAAGAACTGAGGCAATGGAACATGTCTTGGGGCCCTTGGACAGTCCTGCCTAGCAGTCCTAAACCTTGGTCCTTTGCCAGGCAGGGTTTCTTTTTTTCTGGGAAAAATGGTCATGGCTGACTGCCACTAGAAGAGCAGGGTTCTTCCCAATGTAGTAATGTAGTTACATCCTAACAAGGAAAGAGAACAAAAATGTGAGATGCTGTAGTCCTCATGACCTCACCTTGTATCAAGATTTTTCTGTGCTTGCTTCTTTATAATCTTGCTGCTGGAAATGGAGGCAGCATCTCAGGGCAGCCCGTGAAGGGGAAAGTGGCAGTTGGCCATCTCAGGTGTTTATGATGGAAGCAGAAACCAGCCCATGGAAGTTGGAGCGGGCAGTGCACCTCTAGTACTGCTTATATTTTTTGAAACATTCAAGGAAAGAAGCTTGAGGTGAGAACCGAAAACCCATGCAGTTAGCTGACTAATTATTATAGTCTCAAGTCAAAAATTAAAAGGAACTTTGGTGATAAACCCTTGACTCTTGGAGTTCTAAACCTTTCACTCACTGCCTATAAAATGAACGAATTAATAAATTAAGGTCCTGGGAACAAAGGAGACACCCTCTGATCACTGGCCAAGAATTCCTCTAGGAGACTCTCCCCAACTTTTCCAAGCATAAAATACTCAAGCTACCAAGGCAAATCCTGGGACGCGAATCACCGGGACAAGTGAGACAATACATGAGCAAGAGGAGTGTGTCTAGAACCCTCGACAGACCAAACTTTAGAATGGGTTTTCCTTGCCAGAAGCTCAATTACAGCCAGTGGCTACAAGCTTCAGGAGGGCAGGGGGCTAAAGAATGTGCAGGTGCTCCAATTTTGTCCTCCTGTCCACAACTACAGGAATTCCTGTATGAAGAGGCACAGAGGAAAGCTAGAAATCAAATCTGTGTCCTTTATTCCACCGAGTAGGCATACCCATGGGCCACATCCTGTCTCAACAGACTGCTGAAGGTTCCCTGGGCCCAAGGCACATGATTACCTGGGCTCTGCTCTCCAGACAGATAGTAGGGGTGGGCAGCAGAGAAGGCTGAACATTGGGGCAGAGATACCCCAGCACTGAAGGGGAATGGAGAGTGAGGAAGTAGGACCACAATGGAAGGGGCAGTGAGGGGCCTTGAAGGACCTAAGTTGAGCATTTTGAGGTGAGAGGGCTTTCCACCCAGGCCTCCATGTCCACTGACAGCCACACCCAGTGTAGAGGCGAAGCTGCTGCCACCCACTGAGGTGCTATATTCTTCTGGATTCTTCTGGAGGCCCCTTTCTTTTTTCTGCTGCGGCTGAAGTCTGGGAACAGGAATCATTTGTCGGAAGAAGGCAGAAACCACTTGCTGGAGTCCCACCTCTTTGGAGATGAGCTGTTTGAGGTTTCAGGAATGAGAGAGAAGGAAGTGGAGAGCAGGAGACAAGAGAGGAGGCGAGAGAGGCTACCAGCCCAAGGACAGAGGCTGGGAGCTGTGTGCAATTGGGCAGAGCAGTGCTCAGTGGAATCATGGGTAGGAGGCTGAGATAACCCTGGGCTCAGCTGCTGCCAAAGTGGAAGAAGTGAGGCAGAGGCAGCCAACCACTTGCCTAGGAGACAGAACTTAGGCACCACGTAACAAAGACTCCCATGTAGAACTGCCACCCTCTCCCCGCCAGCAGTCTCAGATGGTCTGCTCCAGACAGAACCCAGCAGCCAGGGAGGCAGGGCCTACTGCTGGGATATCATGGCAAATGCCCAGTCCAAGAAGGCCACTGTGGTTTCCTGTAGGCAGAGCCAGGTCTGGTGGGCAGCCTCACTGAGCTGTGTCTTCACGCAGTCCCAGGTCACCCCACCTCTGGGAGGAAAGCAGAACATTTGTGGAGGTTGGAAAGCGGTGATGTGCAGCTGTGTCAAGTCACAGGGCTGTAGCTCACACTCACAACCCGCATCCCAAAGTGGCCAAGGGATGAGCAGGGGCCAGGGCAGAGTGAGAGACTCAACAGAGGAGCCTTGCCCCTGGAGAAAGGGCGTGCCCTGGGCGAGGGTCTCACCTGCACGCCTCATGGCAGTGCTCCTGGACGCGGGCCAGGGCCTCAAGCAGCATGTGCCACATGGGCAGCAGGACATTCTGGTAAAGAAACAGGAGCAGCTCCCTCAGAGAATGGAGCAGCTGGTTCAGGGCATCAGGGAGCTGGATCTGTAGCTGGACCGTGGAGAATGGACGGGATTAGAGTGGCCAGGGAATGCAGTCCACATGGGGCTGCACCTTCCCAAGAACTCAGCCCTTGGCGAGAGCAGCCTTCTCTGACCTCCCTGTCTCTGGCTTACCCTCTGGGAGAGGCTGGTGAGGCTGTCACCGAACCAGGCAAGGTGGGAGGCACAGTGGGCAGAAAGGAAGCTGACTGTGGCACTGGTGTGGGCCCAGGCCAGCTGCAAGCTGGGCCTCACCATGGTCAGCAAGTGGGAACCCCAGGCCGGCAATGTCTTCTCCAGCCAGCTGTAGGAGAAGACATAGGGGAGGAAGGAGGCCTCTGAGTTTTCCCAGGCAATCTGGCCCAAGAACAGCTGGGGCAAGGGAGGCCTTGGGAAAGGAAAACCCCCATCACTTCCCACTGATTGTCAATGCCTGAACACGCAAGCCCTCTCTCTCCCACCCCACCCCTCCCCAGGAGGTGCTCACCTGTAGCCTTGCAGGCTGTAGGAGTAGATCTTGGTACATGCTTGTTGGCCAGCAGGCAAGACACCAGATGAATGAAGCAACCGGCCAGAAAAGGAGGCTGAGTAAAGGGGGCCTCGGGTGAGCTGGGAGGTGAATGGGGAAGGGATCGGAGAGACAGACACTACAGGCCCCAGGGCAGACCCAGTGAGGGATGGGGCAGAACTCAGTGTGCTCCTGGGGCTGCAGAGCTGCCTCCAGTCTGCTCTGGAGCACACACGGAGGGAGGATGCAGGCCAGGGGAGCAAGAAGGGTGCAGCCAGGTGGAGCCCTGGGCTTAGGCGTCAAGAAGCCTCGGCTTTGAGGGTCGGCCCTTCTATTTCCTAGCTGTATTTTAGCTAATTGGTAAATCTTTCTGAGCTTCAATTTCCTCAGAAGTTAAAAACAAGATAACATCTACTCAAATGAGACCATGAATATGCAAGCATTTCTATACTGCAAAGGACGTCTGATCTGAGGTGTGACTGAAACATCTGTCGGAAAAGTGTTTGTTCCGGATTGTGTTGGGGGCGGGGAGTGCTACATCCAGCTCTGTGTCCCCATAGAGAGCCCCAGGCTATCTCCCTTGCCTGCCAATCCCTGCTTACCCTGGAAAGAGCTGTGTGACCGCAAGTCATGGCACAGAAAACCTATGGCAGAGACCAGCACCAACAGGAGTAGCCGCGTCCAGGGCAGCCAGAAGCCCCGTGCCTGCTGCAACAGACTCTAGAAGAAGGGGTAGAGAGCAGCGGTCAGAAGGGAGAGGGGCTGCTCCTTGCCTCGTAAGGCAGGCCTCGAGCTAGGCCTTCCAGGGAGAGGATCCGGCCCTCACATTACCCAGGAGGTAGCGCGGGCTCCAAGGACAGGTGGGGCAGGAATGGGATACAGGCCCACCCCGGGGTGTGCTGGGACAGCGACGCAGAACAGTTTGTGGGGCTGGGGGAGGGCTGGGCGCTGGCACCTTGCAGGCCGCGTCACAGGTGATGACATCCTGGTTGCTGCAGCTGCCCTTCCCTAGCAGATCCTGGTTGGTAAGCTTGAAGGACTGAATGGTTTCTTGCAAAGACTTCTGTGTCTATAGGGTAAGAAAAATCTAGGCTGAGATCATAAGATTTGGCCCAGGAGGGAACCCTGAGCCTCCATTCTGCTTCGTTTTCCATGCCAGATGTGCTAACAGAGCACCTTCTCAGAAAGGGGGGACAGTGGCTGAGGGGTATGAACCCAGAACCCAGATGAGGCTCAGCCTGCCATGTCCTCCCAGCTCCTTACCTTCTTGGGAATCCGCTCCCAGGACCTGAGCAAGTGCTCCAGCAGCAGGCTGTGGGGAAAGCACACCCCCTTCCAATCAGGAGGCCCACTTGGCCCCTTCCATCCCCCCGTCCTCCATGAGGCCCCGCTCCTTCAGGCTGAAAGATATCCACCTCCCCGGCCCCTGCAGAGGAGCGGCTTCCTAGAGGCCTCCCAGCAATGTTCCCACTGAACTTAAGGGGCATGAGCCTGAACAAGTGACAAACGTCCCCCTTCTGCTTCTAGGACAGGGACACACCAGAAGTGTGAATTAAGGCTTCTCTGTGTGGATCAGGGGCAGGTGACCCTCCCACCCCCACCTGCCTGGACTGTGACAGGTGCTTGGGGTACAGCTGCCTCCAGACGCCGGTGCTGAAGGGGTCCACCGTCAGACACTCGGTCAGGCTGCTCAGGAGCTGCACAGGGGACAGGAGAAGGGAGAGACTGCTGGGGCCCGGGGCTGGTGGCAGGGAGATTGCTGGGAGGTAATCCCCCTCTCCTAAGTGAGACCATCCAGGCAACACATCCACCCTAAAGGATGTAGAAATTGTGCCCATACCCCAAAACTCTCTGAGAGGCTGTAAAGGGGGAGGCCAGGGCTTCTGAGCTCGAAGTTCACTTGTCTGCCAGGGGCAGGATATCAGAGACTGGCCAGACCTGAATGTGCCTCTTTACAGCTCCGTTCTTCTGAGGACAGAGCATGAGGGAGCCGGGCAGGCAGTTGTCAGGAGTGAGCTAAGGGGATGCCCAGAAAACGGGCTCCCTGAAGCAGGGCCTTTGTCAGCAGATAAGGACCTCTGTAGCAGACCCTTGGGAAGGAAAAAGGAGCCTCCCACCATTTCCTCACCTCTTTCTTCATCTCCGGAGGGCAGCCAGGGGTGGCTCTGGATAGGAAGGAGGGGAAGTAGGTGTGCAGGGTGGATTCCGGCTTCGCCCCAAATGCCAGCACCTTCAGTCGTGGGTAGAGCTGACATAGCTGCTCCTGCAGGCTGTGGAGGGGGTTGAGAGGAGAGCCAGGCACAGGCTCTAAATGGATTTGTGCGCTGTGTCCCTTCTGCCTGCCTCAGAGTCCACACCCTGCCCAAGGCGGGCAGTCATGAAGGGCCTTGTGATGGTTCTGCATCTTTCTAGACTCGGAGACTTCTTGGAAAATTTGCTCAGAGTCATGGGTCCCCTCCCCAGGAAAAGGCCCACATGCCAATCACACTTGAGGGCCCATATAATTCCAGGGGTTCAATGATCCCTTGTACTTGCAGGTTGATAATCTCAGATGTAGAGTGGCTGGAGGGGAAGGGACATATATTGTCTACTCCTAACCCTCTGCTGGGATCCTCCACAGCAGGTGTGCCCCAGGGCAGCCCTACCTGGGAGTAAGGGAGTTGTTGGGCATATAGGCAAAGTCCAGAAGTGGGAATAAGTCCTTGGGGCCAATCATGCCAAAGCCCTTGGTGAGGTTGGGGTGCATCCTGTGGAGGAAGAAAGAAACAGGCTTGCTGGGGACCACCTGCCCGGGCCATGGACACAGCTAAGAATAACATCAGCTAAGAATAACATCTGAGAAAAAGGGCATAAACTCTACCCCATCCCCCTCCCCTTCCTGGCTCCCTCCCTTTCCTTCTTCACCATCACATTCTGAGTTGGGAGGCGCTGGTCCTGATTTTCCTCACATTTACAGAAACCAGGAATCACAGCATCCCATTTTGCTGAAATAGCCACTGGAAAACGCCCTGGGCCTTGGCCTTGCTGTTCCCTGCCGTTACTCACAGGAGCAGCCGATCCAGGTATGCAATGGCGAATGGAGACAGAGACTTGATGCCCAGCACAGGCAGCATGATCCCCAGCCACACTGTGGAGACAAAGGTCAGGGAGGAAGCCTCAGGCCTGGATCCACTGAGAACATTAAAGAGCAACTTGCTGGCTCCAAAACCTCCTTCTTTCTTCCCCACTTCCTCGTTACCTCTCAGTCCCTCGGTGAGATTGGCAAAACCTGCTTGACCCAGGGCCCACATGATGGTCAGACACTTTGCTGGTCGGCTCTGGTGGGACCTCAGCAGTTCCAGGAACTGAGGAGACCGGTGGGAGAGACAGGTTGGGATAGGGCAGAGCGCCAGGAGCATCCTCAAAGCCAGGGAGGAAGAGAGATGTCAACTGGGAGAGGAGGGGCAGGCTGCGGGACAGGGCGGAGCGGTTCAGAGGGCAGGCTCCGGCACCAGGCTGTGGCCTCCACCCATACTTGCCACTTACTAGTTGACCAACTCTATGAAAGTGACTGAACCCCTCTGTGGCTCAATCTTCTCATCTACAAAGTGGGAATAACAGCAGTACCTACCTCACATGATGTACAAAGTAGACAAAGTAAGTGCTAACAGTGTTAGCTGTGATCATCTGTCTTACAGGACCTCCCACTACCCCTTAATTGGGTCTAACAGTGTAGATTCCACCCAGCCTCCCCAGTCCTAGCCTCCCGATGTCCCCACCACGACCCTGAGCTCACCTTGCCCAGGTTCATGGTGGCGATCTTGGGCTTGTCCTGCAGAATGGCCTGGATACAGATGCGGTAACCGTGTAGTGACTCCCCTGGAGAGATATACATTCTCAGACCTACATATACTAATCAGCATCCCAAACCTGTAACCTCCCTTTTGACAGCTGAGAGCCCAGACCCCAGGCCCAGCGAGTCCTAACATCCTCCTCCTTTTCCAAAAGAGTGTTGAGGTTAGCACGCTTCTCTGCTGAAATGGAACCACCCAGCCACTCTTGAAGCAGGAAAAAGGGGGTAGGCTCCCCAGATGGGACTGGGCTATTCCTCACGGGCCCCTCTCACCTGGCGTCTTATCCAGCTCTTGTAGCATGGTGAATAGACAGTGGTCAAAAAAGAGCTCCAGAGACTCCACTGCCTTTGCCAGTAGCCCTCGGATGATCCCACGCAGCTCCCGGCTCACCAGGCTATAGGGATAATCTGCGGCCGAGAGGCCTCGTATGAGTGCTAGGACCAGAAGCCTCTGCCAGCTCTGAGAGCTCTGGTTTGCCCCCTGAGAACGGTAAGTGGAGGCAGAGGTCACTGCACTGTGGCTGGTATCCTCCCTATTTCAATGAGGTCCGGAAACTTGTAAGCCATGATGATTTGAGAACAGATGAAATCACCCATGTAAGTCAGGGCAGTAGGGGGCATTGGGCTCAGTTACTAAGTAACGTGCTTACGCACAGCCCTTTCATAATTTCCTTGAACTTGTCTGGAGAACTAACCGTGAGTATGCTGGCTTAGTGTGGGTTCACTTGGAGGTACTTGGAGCTTGTAGTTGAGATAGCTGGCCAGGTCCTTCAACCACACAGATGGGTTCCCAGAGAACACGCTTTGGCTCTTGTCCAGTTCCTTCTGCAGAGCTGCCAGGTCCAGCTGCCAAGGACACAGGACCCTCATGGTGAGTTGTGGGTACAGAGTAATGGGGTAGAGGTGGGAAAATAGTTGAACTATGTGGTGGTAGGAAGAACAAAGGGTTTCTGCTTTTAAACGAAAGTATGTGGAATGCCACACGTTTGCTGAATCCAGATCTTTAGGAAACAGAGAACATGACAACTGCAATTGCTGATCTCAACGACTAATACTCTTGGGCCCTTCACATGTTCAAGGGGAAAAACAAGACTCGATGGAAAATGAAAGATCACCCCTTCCTTGTGGAGAGGAACCACAAGCAGTTTTTCTAAATCCTCCCTGTATCTCTGGATTTTCAAGGCCCTCCTCTCACTAATCTGTTCCTCTATAAACATATTTCCTTTCCATCCTAAGTGCAAACACTGTACCCCTTGGGGTTTCCATCCTTTCCTGAACGCCTCCTCTCAGCCAGCAATGTCCCACATTCCACAGGTCCCTGAGCCGCCTGTCCCCCTCCCGCTCCTCTCATTTTCTCTACTCCTTGAGTCCTCATTCTTGCCCTGCCTAAAGCCTAGGCACACTCACAGCTTTCAGTGCCTCCTCCAGGCTGCAAAAGCGGCCCTGCTTCTGGTTCTGGTTGGTGAGCGTGGCCACCTTCTTAGTCTGCTTCTTGTTCCCCGGTTTCTTAGGCTCCACAGCAGGGGGTGGAACCTGCTCCTTATTCTGCCGCTTCATGATTTTCTCAAAGCCCCGCTCATACAGGGTGCTTGTCGTCTGGATTGGAGCTGGGGTAATGACAGGCAGAGAAAGGGGGGCAGCCCTGAGTCAGGAGGGCCTCACAGGAACAGTGGTCCCTTCCTCCACACTGTCACCTAATTCATCTTCAGGGAGGATCCTGCCTCAAAGCCCCTTCTGGCTGTCCTGCTTCAGGAGCAGGGCAGGGAGCCCTCCTGGCTGCTTCTTCAGTAATCACAGCTCGTGAGTTCATGGGCTCTTTCACAGAGATGAGGCGTTTCTTTATTAGGAAATCAGAGTATGTGAGAATCGGTGGTCGGGGGTGGGATACAGAGGGCTGGCTTCTTTGTTGAATGGCTACCAGTCTGGGAGGTCAGGATTTTTCCATCTTGGTTCTACCCCAGTTCCTTTTGGTTCAGATGTGACAACTCTATAATCAACAAGTGGCAAGCTTTCTCCACTCCTCCAGGAGGCTTTGAGGAAACCGGCACCACTTAGAATAATACTTGGTGGGTGTGGACAGTGTGTGGTGGGTCATTTCTCCCAGTGCAGGGTCTCGTGTGCGTCCCAGTCCCCACGCCCACCCCCGACCTGCTGGTTACTTAAGGCGGGGGCACCGTGTATAATGAACCAGGATGCCTCTCCGCAGCTCTCGGACACCTGCCCGGAGAGGCCAGGCCAGGGCCCGGGAACAGCTGGTAGGGCGTATGTGCAGTCAGCTGAGTGTCCGAAGACCAGAATCCCGGTCCCCACTGACATGGGGCTCTGGACAAGGCATCTAACTTCGCTGGGCCTCAGTTTACTCATTTGAGAGGCAAGGACAGCGACTTCCCTCGCGCTGTCTACTTCCCGTGAGGCTCAAAATAGGCAACGCCAGGGTAGCGCCGGCTGAACTGGGAGGTACCGATCGGCAGGAGAGCTCGCGCCTCCAGGAGCCCGGGGGTGTTTTGACCCTCTGGGCTCGGGTAGCTGCTCCCTACCACCCGTGGGGGCAGGCCCGGGGCCGGGCGGCGGCGGCGGGCCGGGTGGGTACTCACGGGTCAGGTCGTACTTCCACACTCCGTTCGCCTCCCCGAGGGCCCGGCGGTCCCCTCCGCCGCCTTTACCACTGCTGCCGGCCCCAGGCCGCCGCCCCTTCTTCACCACCTCCCAGCGCCCCCCACCCGCCGTCCTGGCCGACATGGCTCCGAGCCTCCCGCCACGGCCACCTCCCTGGGCTTTCCGGTCCGGCGCGGACGCGCAGCGCTCTGCCACGTCTCCTCGCAGGGCCTCGCGGCGCGTGACGCCACCCTCAAGGCAGCCTGGGACTTGTAGTCTTTCGTGTTTGCCTGGTTCTCCCACTCTGGGGGTCGGGTCGGCGTCGGGGCCTTTTCGCAGCAAAAAACCAGCCAGGCAAAGATGTTGAGATGAGAGGCTTTTGCATTCAGACAACTTTTATTGAGCAAAACGTGAAGGCATTGGGTGACTTGGTGGAAATTTAACTGTTTCTGTCTTTCTTTCCGTTCTAGTTGTGCAAGAAGGATGGAATGAAAATAGTTCTCCTCATCTCCCAGGAGAGTTTGAAGATTAAATGCTTCCTTCCTTGTAGGAAAGTGCTAGTTTTTCTGTTGCTAGTGATTAAACTTTGGGTTTAATGAGCTATAAAAATCTGTTCTGCAGGAACAAGGAAGAGGATGGAGCTTGAGGGAAGAGGCAATATTTGGAGGGCAGGAAGTGGAGAGCGGAGAGTCCTTCTGGTAGGAGGCACAGAAAAGTCTGGGGCCCTGGTACAGCCAGCACTGGGTTTCCCCTTCCAGGCAATGGGAAAGAAAAGACTCTGACTCCCACCACAAGAGTCAGTCCCCAGTCCCAGATGTGGCGGGGAAGGGATCGAGAGCTGCAGACCTGGGGAACCACTCAAACAGGTTACTGCTCAGACATCCACTATCTCCCGAGGGCCTTCTGCCAGGCTTGTGGTATCACGTGAGACCTCAAAACTTGAAGCATCCCAGCAGGGGAGGATGAGCGAAGGTGAACTGGAAGGGATCTATCACGATTAAGGAAATGTGCTATTTCATGTACACTCCTACATTCGAGGACGGGATTCACACCTCTGCCATACTGAGGAACAAGACAGCCAAGCCGTTATAGTAAGAACTAATAGAGTTCAGTTTCCCACAGGACGAATAGCTTAGGGAGTGATGAATTCCTTTAGGAAGGAGATTAGAGAAGGCTTCTTGAAGGAGATAGCACTTGAGACGGGTCCTGAGGAATGGGCAAATTTTCATTGGCTGGGGATTAGGACAAGTGGAGAGAACAGGCCAGTTGTATGGATTTATTGGTTTAAGCAGAGGCCTAGAGGTGGGACACAGCGTGGCAAGGCTGGGAGACTGGAAGGAGTTCAGTGTGACAGTGCTTAAGGGATTTTGGAGGGGATGCGGTTGGAAAGGGATCTGAGCCCATATGCCATGGGCCTTGCCTGCCAAATTCGGACTTTGTCCTCCAGACCCTGGGAAGCCAGTAGGAAAGTGGCACATCTGCTTTTGGAAAGGTGAATGGGGATATGTGAAGGATGGGATGGGGTGGGGGGAGAGGCAGGAAGCGGGATATAACCGGCTCTTGCTGCCTCCTTCGGCCTGCCCTCCAGCCCCTTCAGGCCTGACCGTAGCTGACTTTGCCTCTGAGATGCAGTGCTTTTGGCAAGGAACATATTTGAGCTGATCATTAATCAATTCATTTTTTTCAGATCATTGGTTTAGCTCTACTCAGACACTGTCTTCTCTTTGTTCTACCTCTTCTGTGTCACATGCGTGGTCACAGAAGAGACACTGTTTTTGGAAGAGAAACAGAACGGGCTTTCCATAGAGGCAAAGAAGGGGGGTGCTCCATGGTGGAAATGTCTAGAAAGGGAGGGGCTTTATTTCCTATCTTTCCTTAGAATAGTCTGGCAGGTCAGCTGTTGTAACTTGGCATCTAAGGGATAGAAGTCATTCACTTACTTATATCCAGTAGCATTTCCTAAGCACCTAGCACGGTGCTAGGTGGAGCTAGAGGACACACCTCACTTGCTTGAGAGGAACTCGAAGCTTGTGTGGGAGACAACTGTGTAAACAGAGAATTATGGTTCACCATCTTAAATGTTGTAGACATTGGGAAGGAGGCAGTGGCTTCACATCTTTGAGCTCTGGGTGTTCAAAGAGCAGCCTTAGACACTAGCCATGGAGGTGGGCTTAGGCAGGTACCCGTGGGGTTTGAGGGAAGAATCAAAAGAGGAGGACGGGTGGGTGTCCAGTGTGGAGGCGAGAAGAAGACTGAGCTCACTGAAGCACTTTGACCCACTGTAGTAGCTTCCTATTTGCTACTGTAACAAATTGCCACAAACTTACTGGCTTAAAACAACACGAACTTCTAATCTTACAGTTCTGGAAGGGGAGGTCTGTCAGGGTCTCACTGGGCTAAATACGGTGCCTGCAGGGCAGTGGTCCATTGTGGAGGCTCTACGGGAGAAGCTGTTTCCTGGCCTTTCCCAGCCTCTAGAGGCTGACCGAATTCCTTCGCTCATAGCTCCCTTCCATCTTCAAAGTCAGCGACAGTGGGTCAAGTCCTCCTCAGATTGCATCACTCTGACCTCCTGCCCCCTGCCCCAACTTTGTGGACCCTTGCAATTACATTGGGCCCACCTGGATAATCCAGGATACTCTCCCTATTTTAAGGTCAACTGATTAGCAATTTAATTCTATCTGCAGCTTAATTCCCCTTCACCACGTAACCTAACATAGCCATAGGTTCTGGGGATTATGACGTGGACATCTCGGGGGAGGTGTTATTCTGTCTACCACACCCACTTAACACTTAACCAGCAGGGTGAGGTCTCGGCCTGAAAATGAACATTGGGCAACGCAGAGAAACTACCTTATCCGTTTACTATATCTACCTGGAATGGTGGGGGGGAAAGCCTTTTAAAATTAGGCACAGGAATGAAAAATCATAATGATAAATAAATGCAGGCAGGGAACTTGTTGGAGAAGAAAAACAGAATAAGATCAGGAGTCTCTGTGCGTGGGGGTGGGAGTCAAATGGAGGAATTGAAGTGAATGAGGAACGAACAGACACAGTTTGCTTATTTCAGGCTTATAACTGGAGTCATCTGAGAAGTGGTGGCAGTCTGGAAGGAGGGTCATGGAGCAGGGCCATGGAAGAAACACAATCCCCGTAGTATCTCAGGCATACTCAGGATGGCAAGGAAACATCTACCAGGGCTAGTCTGAAGCTAGAGGAACGTTCTGGAGGTCACACCTGTGTGGTCTTTGTGAGTGAGCCCTGAACCCTGAGTCAGGAGGTCTCAGTTCTAGTCTAGTTTTTTACCACCTTGAGCAAAAGCCATGTCACATGTTGTTCTCAGTCCTTTCATCAGTAAATGAAGGACTGTTCTAGATGACAGCCAAGGCTCTGTTTGAATGGGCCCGGTATCCACATGCATTTCAGCGCCCTCGGGGCCTCCAGGACACTGGTTATCATGGCCCTTGGCTGGCACACACCAGGATTGCAGGGCTGTGCGGAGGATGTGACAGAGTTCCCGGCTCCCGGCTCCCATTAGAGCCTGTTCTGTGGAAGGAACCCTTTGGACATTGCTTTCCTTCTGGGCTTCAGTTCTTAGAGCGTTGCTCTTTGTAGCCCACTCTGCTCTGTCACATGAGCCCTTGTCCGCAGCTGGATCACTGTTGTGGGGCGTATAAGCTTTGACAAGGGTGGGGGACAATATGCAGTCATACTGGCCCGAAGGGGACTGAAACAAAGCACCTCTCAGCCAGGCCCCCCTGTTACCCCACAGCTGCTTTACTGGGCTGCCCATCACCACAGCCATGGCCCTGAACTTTGTTCCTCTTCAGGGAATGGCAAGCCCTTAAAGCCCGGGCATCAGCGTTGGGAGATGGGGGCTAGGTCAGAGGCTAAGCCAGTGGTGGTTTCTGGGCCCGAGGGAGGACGGCAGGGGTGCTGTGCTCCACGGCCACTGCCTCTGGAGACGGGGTCGCTCAGGAGAAGAGCACTGAGAGCCAGGCTGTGGCTCAGTTGAGGGAGACGTGGTATGGACTTTTACCACACAAGTTTATTTAAATAAAAGTGAACACATATGCAGGCTGGGTGGCCCGAGGGGCAGGGGTTGGGGAGGTGGGCGGAGGGGAGGCAGACGTACAGGAGGGTCCAGGCAGAGAATGTGTGGTATGAACCAAGCTGCAGGGGGAGTGGCTGGGGGCCTCGGGGCAGTGCTGGGCTTCGGTGCTGGGGTCTGGGGGCCGAGGGTGGGCAAGCCTGGTGCCAGGAGGTCATTTTCATCCCTCACGTGCTCCCCTCACTCTCCCTGACCACCGGGGCCTCCTCAGTCACCCTATCCCTCTCCTGACATCAGCCTTTCCCTCAACTACTGGGAAGTCAAAAGACAAAATAAATTAAGAATCGGTGAGTCCTGCCACAGCCCTGGCAACGGGGAAGGGAGGCCAAGCCAGACACGCTGCCCCGGAGCCCGTGCTGTCAGCCCTGGGAAAGGAACAGGTAAAGTGCAAGGAAAATCCAGTAAGTAAAAATATACCAATGACTTTGTCAAATATACAGCTGCTGGCTGTCAGGGGCGCAGGCGGCTGGCTGGGGTGGGTGGCAGCAGCCCCCTGGGAAGTGTTGGCCGACACAGCACAGAGACCACGGAAATAAATAGGGGTGGGGAGTGGGCAGGGATCCCGCCCAACCGGGCCTCTGCCACAGGAGGAGGGGCCTCTACCTGCTTGCCTGCCCCCACCCCCACTCCCAAGCCCTGCTCGCCAGGCTCCCCAGGGCCACGGCACTGACACAAAGCACCCGGCCAGCTGGCTGTCAGGGAAGGATTATAATGTGGGCATGGGGGCGGGGTGAGGGGCACGGCAGCCGTGCAGTCAGCCAGGGCTGGAGCCGCCCTCAGTACTCGTCCTGGTCTTCCTGTTGGTGTTCCTCGATCTCATCGTCCTCCGGGGGTGCAAATCCTTCCTGGAGGGTGGAAGCGAGAGAGGAGGTGAGCCAGGCAGGCAGGCTGAGGGTGCGGACTCCTGAGGGTAGCTTGGGAGCCAGGGCCCAGGTTCCTGTCCTACTTGCCCTGCTCACGCCCTGTGAGACCTTGGGCTGGTGACTTCGGCTGGCTGCCCTCATCGGCCCCCGTTCTCCAAGGTCCCTTCTGGTGTGAGGGCCCGGCGGGACTG